CCGACTTAACAAAAAATAAATTAAAAGAAATAAATAAAAATTAATAAATTTCTTCCAAAAAATATGTGAGTCACAACACGTGTCTTGCTGCGCTAGAGTTCGACTTGCGGTACGAAGAACAACAACCTGAGGCAACTACAGACGACAATGTGATGTTCAGAGTATGGCATGGTATTGCCGCAAGTAAAGGCGTGGCATGTACAAAAACAAAAATATTGACAATTTATTTAGGATGTCGTTAACTTATCTTCAGAAATTAATGTAATAGTATTATGCAATTACATTTCTTATTGATATATCCATACTTTGAAATTTAAAAATTGCATATATATTTCTATTTTAATAATTTCATCATTTTCGAGTTTTCATTAATTCGAGCTACGCCCGGTCCCGTCGACTTCGAACCACGGAGACTCTCCTGTAATGCGGACAACTAACATTTTCTTAAAGATACGAATTAGATCATGTTGGAATTCGACTGGGCCATCTAGCTAGAGTCGAAAATTCGACATCGTCGGGCTCGAAGCCTAGGACATCCCGATCAACAACTCAGCGTAGGCAACGATTTGTGTCATCCACAAATTACGTAACGCCCAACACGGAGGGACGACGTTTGAGGCAGCGTTACACTGTGGTACATAGGGGGAGGGGACATTAGCTTAGTGTTACGCACCCCAATTAATTTTTGCATTTGCAGAAAAATCCTTTTTTCAGTCAAAAACATTAAAATATTAATTAATATTTTTAATTCCATAAACCGGAAAAATTATGTGAAAATTGTTACAATAAATGGAAATATTTTTCAATTACTTTTTTATTGAATGCGTAAGATCAGGAAACAAGCTTCCAAAAACATCTATTTTCTAGAATCATATTAAATTGGCGCAGTAAACTCCCCATGCGACACCTACGAGGAAGTGTGATCCTTGCTGTCACACATTTTCACGTGTATGCGATCTTCTTTCACTCAAAAATTCTCTCCAATCTTTTTGTCAGGTGTAGTCATATAGGTATTGTGGAGTTTTCGTTGGCATTTCCAATGAAATAATTGTATGCGTCATTGCCAACAATATTATTTATTAAAATAGCAGCTTTCGATGGCTTCGCCATCATCAGTTTTCTAGTACATGATAGTTAATCCGTCGAAAGCTGCTATTTTAATAAATAATATTGTTGGCAATGACGGTGCATATAATTATTTTATAGGTGTAATCAACTAATTCTGACTTTAAATACCACAAATTTTAATATATTGTATGAGGCAAAATTAATACAAAACATGTTTAATGTAATATAATTTATCTTTACTTCCTGTAAATGAGGTGATCGTTGTCGTGAGCGATACGTAATTGTTTCAAGCGCGAATCACGGGTGCATTACAGGTAAAGAGGGGGTACGCAAAATACTCAAAATGAGCGTTCCGTAATTTACGGCCGGTCCCTTGCCGCTACCGCAGCCGGCGAGGGGCGCGGTCAGGTCATTCGCGTCCGAGAACTCGCCACGAACAAACTCCTCTCGCGGCGAGGGTCCCCCCTCTCGAACCCCACCCGGCCAAAACGCGTTCGATGTCCAACGCCCATCCTCAAGCACGGATTCCCCTCCCCTCCCCCCAGACACAGCAGTCGCGACACGCGCGCTGATAAACGATGGAAACGTGCGCTTGCAACTTCGCAACTAATTAATTCCCGTCCCCCTTGTCCCGCCCGCTCCACCACCAGCCCCGCCAACCAACCCCGCGAGCCGGCCGGTTTTAGGTTTTACGAAAGCGCGACGCCCGGCCGTGCCGGCCGGCTATCGCGTCCGGATGTGGAACAGAGAGGGCGGGGAAGTACGAGTTTTGGACGATGGGAGGGGGGTTGCAGAGCGAGGGGAGGGGGTAATGTAAGTGCGTAGATGACGAAGGGAGGAAGTTAGCACGTGCGTAGAATAGCGGGGAGTTAAAGGCGTTAAACCGGAAGCGGTGGTACAGTGCATTAACTGCCGGGTCTCTGACCTGGAGATCCTGTGGTTCGAGTCCCGATGGCGGCAGGATTTTCGACTCCTATCTAGGTTCAGTCGTCTGGAGGAGAATTCCAGCGGCCAGCCGCTCTGATAGGTATCGTGTCGCCTTGGCTTTGCTCTGATCGGTAGTTTCCCGTGGTTTCTGAGATCAGTATCAGGCGAGTGCAGGACCAGTACCCAACAAACGGGCGACGGACCGCGCGCGATATTTCCTTCCTCTTCCTTGTCGTATCCTCACCCCCTACGTACCCATGCTTACACTAGCATGCAAAACACTACCACACATGCCGGGAGACGTGTGTGCCGAGAGGCTGGTTGGAGACATTACATACAATGGAGGTTCGAGGGTTGTTAAGTAGTGAGGGAGAGAGGGTGAGTGCGACTGAGTGTGAGAGGCATGGAAATAAGAAGTTAGGATGCTATGGCGTATGTGTATGTGTGAGGGTGGAAGGGAGAGCAAATGCAAGAAGGAAGGGGGTGGAAAGTAAGGTGACAAGAAATGCTGGAAGATGGGGAGAAAGGAAAAGGGGGTGAGAGGAATGGGAGCAGGGAGAGTATATGGACAAGGTCAGAGGTATGGAAGTAAGTAGAACGGGTAGTGAGAGAGGTGGGTCAGTGTATGGCAGGTTAGAAGGCAAATAGTTTGTATTTGGACCTTAGAACATAAGGAAGTATGTTGTATGTGTGGGTGTGCGTGAGGGATACGGCGTCAACAACAAAACATCGATGTCATTGATGTCATCAATGTCAAACATCGATGTCATTATTGAAATATCAATGTCAAAATTTTACAATATAGCAAATACACCGACCCAAATTCATCAACGTTTTTAAACATCTATGTAAAATATTTTTAGGTGCCTCTAACATCAGCGTTCGCAACTAGAGAGGAGCGTTTTCATGACACAGTGGTCGCGGTCATTAATTTATAATGGAAATGTAGCTGACAAAACAGCCAAAATATTTTCAAAAGAATTTTAAAAAAATGTTTGTTATCTTATGGGACAATACAAAAATAAAACACTTCATTTATCAACAAAAAATCGTGTAACTTATTATTCATTTTTTGCTCTGAACAATGTTCAAATTACAGATACCTGGAAATTATTGATTTTTTTATAATTTAAATTCTTAATTTAAAACCAATTGACCAACATAGTAAAAACATTAAGCTTAAACATCAAAGTTAAAAAAGCGTCGTCATCAATAAATATATGTTAAATGCATGGCATAAAGTATCGATGTTTTGAAAACCTTAACATCGATGTTTGTTCATTAATGAGTGAATGGTACGCAAACAGGGAGGGAGG